GGCACCGCTTTTTATGCCGCGAGGCATTGAGCTTGATTGAACTGGATAGCCGGACGGCGCAGAGACGACTGTTCACTGGGATCCAATCCAGTAAAGCGCTTTCAGCTCTGGGGCTGAGTGCAACTCCCACGCCATATATTCCACGAGTCATCGCTTCTGGGTCACCGGACACACGGAGGGAGAAGTGTGAAAGAGCTGAGTTCATCCTTAGTGTTCTGAGATGCAGAACCACGCTCGATTTTAAGGGAGTACAAGGTTTCAGCAAGCATTGCCTGTTTGCCAATTTGACATAGAGTACGGACGTTAAAAGCTCCTACATAGAAAGGATCTCGTGGATTTAGAAAGATGTTATTTTGTTTAAGGTTTGTAGGCAGCGTGGAGCATAAGGCCCTTCGGTCAGATGACTGAGTCAAATGGCCCAGCCGAGCCTTCTGCTAACAAGAGACTAACGATCTTGATGAAGAGTTAAATACTGACGTTTCTCATCTTCGTGTTTATCAATAAACAACTCCACGTCTGACAGATTTTTTCGTCCAGTAGGACGTAATCAGCGTAATGCGCGTACATGCCGTGCGGCGCTTCTAGCTGTCACCGTTCCGTTTTTTGTTTGGGGTGGTGGGGTAGATAGCTCCTCCTTGGTGGTAATGCGCAAATACTGGGGTGTCAGTGGACTTTACATTGGGAAATTGGCAGGGAGTTGTGCACTGAAAGCAACAGCTGGGATTTACGAATGCCTCTGAGGGCGCGACTGAGTTCTGTCTGACAGTTTGTCTAACCATTAATATGTCCACCTCGAGGTCCCCATCCAGGGAGACGGCAATGACCAGCACAGCTGAGTTTTCTGATAATGGCTTCCATACTTTGCTGCCAAATCAGTTTGACCTCGCCTGGCACATTTCCACCCTTCACGTGATTGTGCGAAAAGACCCGTTCGAAAAAGTCGGTTGACTGGCATATGGAACACGTGACCAAACCAGCACTGGTGAGTTAGTTCTTCGAAGACCATACAGTGTACTTCAGCATTATTGATCCAGCATTCCCACACAGGTTCACAAAAGCTGCTACGGCCTTTCCAATCCTGATGGGAATAACGAATTTGGTGAGACCACTGAGACCACCAGGCTAGGGTTCGGGCCCACCTAGTCTTCCAGTGGCACTTTACATTTCGCAGGTTTGGCGCGCATGCCGAAAACTGGGGCAGAATTATTTTGAACAGGACATAACTTCTGGTTCAAGACCACCTCCTTGTGACTAGTACGAATGGTTTACCTACCTGGTCCATCTTTACCTTGTTGCGTAGAGGAGTTCCTCTACGTTAAGCGTTAAGGTCTGCACATTCCTAGCTCTTACGTTGTGTTATGTGCTGTCCAATTCCTTGTAATCTCTTCGAGCCCAGGAATTTTCATTCCGTGAGAAAGTTGAACGTGCATCATTAATTCATTTCAAAGTTCCCGGGATTGTATACGTGTTTGCACGAGTGATGTTATCCAATTATTCCACCGAAAAACTCGTCTACTAGAGCTGCTTCACAAACGGAATGACGTGCCGGACTATTTGATAATTCCTAACGGAAGTATGCATATTTATTAAAGTAATGGGAAAACGGAAGGAGAGGAAGGACTAAAAGGCTTTGTAGCAAGCCACATATGCTTGATACTGTGAAGGACAGTTACGGCTTTTGCAGCAGGTCATAAGGGACGACTCATCACGCCCCCCAGGCACGTTAAAAGAGAGTTGGGGAGGAAGAGGAAATTGAAGGACAATCAAAAGGATGCCATACGGGTACACATGGGGTAGGGGGTCAAACTACCTGGCTAAACCTAAACATCGGGGTCGTTCACATGGGCATTTACAAAGCACACAACTTGACTCATTCATCATTTATTCCCGCTAATGCGGGGTACAACGAAAAGATACCCTAGCCGGAGGGGCTCTGGTGTAGATACCATAAAAAGGCTAAAGAGCTCAAAACAGGCGTTCCCATTCCTTATCCGACAAAACGTGCTCAAGGTTCTTCTTGGACTGGGCTTTTATAAATTTTGCAGACAGTTTACTCCGGGCACCGATCACGCGTCTACTAGAAACTTTTGAAGACCTGGCCTTCACAGGAAATTCACTGGTGGCACGCCGTTCTCCCTGGGAAAAATTCGAGCATTGGGACTTTTCGAATGAGTCAGCAAATAGCTCGGGGTTACCTCTTAGTAACTATCTCTCGACGCATTACAGGTCTAGGCTTCTAAGTCATTCATGATGAAACACCTCATTTTTACCCACACCATCTCAGTAGCCGCTCCCTTGGGGACTCAATAGTAACTTAATTTCTATCGTTCGGAATGGATACCACGGTCGCACACAGCATTCCGAGGTCGAATGTATAAAGACAAAGGCTTTGAAATCACTTGGGCCTGGACTCCAAAGAGATCTGCTTCTAGGCGGTCTGTTTGCCAGTCCCCGGGCTATGCTACTATTATCCAAAAGTCCTTAGCTAGAGCTTTCGTTTCAAGCAGATGCTGATTGACGTGAACAAGACAGATAGGTCTTTCTCGAATTCTTACTCTACTCAGTTGCCAGGATTACACTCTACAAGTTGGTTCCGGGTTTTGAGACGGTAATGTTATCATAAAAATGCGTTTATAATCTATCAGACGCCCCAAATACTAAAGTTGGCCGTCCAATGTATATATGAATGTTTCAAACCCCGGATAGCACTTAGAAATCCCTCAGCATTTAGGTGTTCCCCTAGACCCTTTAGAGCCTTCGTGAGCTCTTATCTCTGGTGCTATCTTTGGATCAATTTTGCCAGTTGAATGTTCCCAGCTGCTAACTGGTGTCTGCAAGATCGGTGAATCGTCCGTAACTACCAGCACCGGATTTCCGCCGGCTCTGTACATCGGCTGCTGCTCTGAGGCACACTTCCATAGTTATGTGCTTCGGACGGTTGGTGTCATCGATGGTACCAATTATCCCGGGAACACGAGCAGATAAGGTGGGCCCAACAAGCTTCTTCCGCAGGCAGGTGGCATTAGTGCATGTTAGGCGCATCTGACCTCTGCCTTATCTTCGCCACCTAATTTCTAGGGTGGAAAATCGAGAAGGCTGCTATTTTATCTAGTTGTTGTCCATGTAAAACAGTTCCAGGCGGAACCCCACACAAAAACAGCCTTATCGCTAGTAAACATATGCCGCAACGGCAGATAAAATTAACTCGCACGCCATTGGTCCGAATGCGGGTCAGCGGCCCCACTAGCACGAAGGTGAGCTCTGATTGGTGGAAAATGTGAAGCGACCGAACAATCGTGCCCGGAAACACTGAACCTGGCTGCTAACTGCACGTCCAGGCATCCGAATTTCCAGTGCTGCCGTCACCAACACTCCAGCCTCGAAGTTCTACACATTCACGGATTCACGGACTGATACACAGGATCGAGGCTTTTGCCCAAGTTTCCCGGGTCGGTTTCGTTCTTGTCGGTAAGTGGCTGTCGTTCACCTGAAAGACACAAGTGAAATAAGGGTGTAGCACTGCTCTGTATGTTCGCAGCGCGGAGCAGTGTGCTTGCCAGCGCGAGGATTGGCATAAATAGATGTCTAATAGTGCTTTAACCTGGGTTCTAGAAAGAGCGTGGACAACCGTCGGAGGAAGGTTATTCCACGCAGCTACTAACCGAAATGAGAGAAAATTTTGTCTAATGAATGTGTGCTCTGAGCTTGAAACTTTTCCTACTACGTCCCCGCCGTGTGTTTGCTGGGTCAACGGTAAAAAACCTGTTTGCCAAGCTTTGTTCAAACAGGGCATAAGCAAGAATTAGGTCACCTCGGAGGCGACGGTACTCCAGGGGAAAGCAATCAGGCATCGTGAGACGCGTTTCGTAGTCCACGGATTTGAGACTGGCGATCATTCTCGTAGTGGCCCGCTGGACACGCCCAATAAGGGTGACGTCTTCCGTGCATCCTGAGTAAACACCTTGGTTGGCGTACCCCAGGAGCGGTCTGACGTAGGCCCCATAGAGTATTTGGAAGTTAATGCGAGTAATACGGGAGAAGGTGCGTCGGATCATCCATAAAATGGAGAACGCCTTTTGGGCCGATTTCTCGTGGTGTAGTGAGAAGGACAAGTTTGAGGAGACCCAGATACCCAGATCCTTTTTGGCATCTATCTGATGGATGTTTTCTGGTCCCTTTTCACCATGCGCAAAAAAGGCGTTTTCTGAATATCTCCAAACGACATATGGACGCATTTTTCGTCATTCAGAAGAAGGTGTCAGTCCAACGACCACTGCCTGGCAGAGTCTACATCCATTTGGAGGGCATTAGCACTGGAAATCCAGGATTTCAAGTCGTCCGCAAAAAGCAGACATGGAAGAACATTTGGGAGGTCGCTGACGTAGACCAGAGACAGCACTGGTCCCAGGATGGAGACCTGAGGAACTCCAATGGAGACCGGCGTAGGTTGAGCCTATTCTCACTCGGAATGATCTGTCTGATAGGAACGCCTTGATGCAGCGAAGGATTTTCCCTTGAATCCCGTAAGACTCGAGTTTGTGGAGCAGCGGGACGTGTGGGACCCTATCAAATGCTTTTGAGAAGTCGAAAAATATGGCATCCGATATGAGCCCTTCGTCCTTGGCTTAAGTTAAGATATCCATAAACACGAGCATGTTTGTCACGCAAGAGCGGGTTGGGAGAAATCCGTGTTGAGCTGGAGGTATCAGATGGCTGGAAATATGGTGATCTAGGATAGCTCACTTCAAAATGCGCTCCATCACCTTGCACGACACGCTAGTGTGGCTTATAGACCTGTAGCTGCCAGGCGATTGTCGGTCACCAGTTGTGTAGCTTGGCATGACAATCGCTTCATTCCAAGCAGAGGGAAGGCGGCCTTCGTCAAGCGATTGACGAAACACTAGTTATAGATGGTTTGCAAGTGTGAAGGACGTTTCCTTCAGGATCCTTGGATGGACCTCGTCGGGCCCCAACGCGCAGAATGGGTTGATTTTGTGAAATAGTTGACGAATGTCCTCCACCGTGGAGACCAAGTCGGTTAGAGGCTGTTCGTAGCTTCTCCTTGACAAGAGTGGATGTGACAAAGACGCTGGGGCTGAGTATAGACACACATAGTGTTCTCTGTAAGCCTCAGATACCACTGTTGGGTCATTCGTCGGTTCTCCGTTTCTGTCCCTCAAGGAGAAAGCGGGTGGCTTGTTTCTGCGGCGATGTCACATGTACTTGAACACTACGTTTTTGTTTGGTGGCTTGTTTTCGTATGTTCCATGGACAAATTTCCGATTTACAGCTGTTCCGCGCGAAATGCCAGCTCATCTTCCGTATCCCCTGCAGTCAACTTTTTGAAAAAGAGTTGGGATCTTTTTTCCAGAAGTCGCCTAATCCTTTTTGGCATCCTGCGGTCCACCCGAGTGCGTGCTAGTTTTTTTGGGACGAACGTCGCGTCAGCCTCGTGAACTTTCTGGGCATTGGTCCCATATAGTTCTTCCACTGGAGCTGGTCCCAGTGTGACTTGTTCAAGAAAGATGCGCATTACTGAGAAGTCTGCACTGAGAAGTCTGGAAACAACGTTTGAGGTTCGGGATTGCTGGTCCAATAGTAGATGAAATCAAAGGTCAGCACACAGTGGTCGCTATGTCCCAGTGGACCGTTAATCTTTACCTGATCCATGAGGTGTCTTTCTTTGGTAATGACCAAATCCAGAAGGGATTTTAGTTGGCCTGCGCGGTATCTGGTGGGTGCAGCGACATGTTGGGTCCAAGCGCTCTGTTGAACGACTTCTAACAGCGCCGCTGCAAAAGGTCCGCCTGATTCGACGCGCTGGAGTGCAATC